GATCGAGTTCTTCAAACGACTGCGACAGTACAACCTCAAACTTTCTCCAGGGAAGGCTCGCGTCGGCGCCACGCACGCCAACTTTCTCGGTTACACCATCTCTCCGGCAGGTGTTAGCCCTGATGGCGTTAAGGTTAGGGCGCTCACGCACATGCCGCCGCCGACGAATGTTAAGCAGCTTCGGAGCCTTCTCGGTGGACTCAGCTACTACCGGAAATCCCTCAAGAATCTCGCCACCAAGGTGCGGCCTCTCAACTTCCTACTCAAACAAGGCGTCCCCTTCAAGTACACCCCGGGCATGGTCAATGTTGTCAAAACGTTACGCGAACTCGCTCGCCCCCCGATTTTGGTCTTCCCGGATTGGGCAGCAATCGAGGAAAACAGCCGTCCTCTTCGTTTGCGTTCCGACGCGTGTATCGACGGTTTTGGCGCCTCCTTGAAACAAGAACAGCTCGATGGCTCGGTGAGACCCATCGTGTACATCAGCCGCGCTACTCTTCCTGCGGAGCGTAACTGGACCGTTTTGGATCTGGGAGCTGGTGGCATTGTTTGGGCCATCAAACGCCTTCTGTGGTCGACCAAGTTCATCATCCATTCAGACCACAAAGCCTTGGAGAGCATTGGCAAGGTTGGGGAACACAACGCTAGGGTGCAACGATGGCTCGAATTCCTGTCCAACTTCACCTACACCCTGAAATATCGGAAAGGTTCGGCAAACGGCAACGCGGATTTTCTTTCGCGGTTGCCTTTACCAGCACAAGACACTGACAAAACCGGCCCCGACTGCATTGATGGTGTCGATCAAGCGGGTGTTTTCCTCATTTGGGCTTGCGGGCGCAACTATCACTCGTCGTCTACACCGGAGGTCGGTTTGGGTGGGCTCCGCCCTCCTTGCACGGCGGGAGTCTTTTCGCCCCCAGCGTTGCAGCCCTCCGATTTTGGGGATTTTCGCCGACATCACCCGCGTCGGTTGGATGCTCTGACGGACTCAACGATTGCCTGCGAGAATTCTCGGCGGTCCCCGGGGGTCTTCATCGTCTTGCCTGTTCTCGCATCTTCAGGGCCTGCTTCCCCATTGACTTCTGATGCATCCCGCGTGATGTCTCCTGCCGCGTCCTTGGCGACTAGATATGTGCGCGTTTTGTCTTCGCTTCCGGAGCAGGGACCGCTCAACTCTTCACGGACTCGGGCCAAAACTACCGCCGTTTCCGGAGGCACCATCACCAGTCCCGCTTATTTCGGACGCCAGCCGCGGGCTACCATTGTCCCTCGGACATCGCCCGTCGCTCTAGCAAGTCCCGCTCGGCAAACAAGTCCACCCGGACCGCCGCGCGTCTGCTGCCGCCATCCGCAACGCCGGCATGGGCGTTTTCGTCGACTGCTCTTGCGCCACCGGTGTCTTCGCCGTCAGCGGCGCGCCCTGCATCCCCGACTTCGCCCTCTCTACAGGTTTCGCCCGGGACTCCGCCACTCACGATGTCCCCTTCGCAGACATCACCACGGACTGCGGCTGCCCCAGTCGCTGAGGCTTCGCCTTCTTCAGCCTCTTCCGTTGGATCGCCTGATTTTTTTTCGGGATCTTTTGATTTGGACACCTCCCACTTGCGGGCTTGTGTTCAGAGTTTCAGTATTGTGAACTGGGCTAGGGAACAACAGCGGGAGAGCGAGTGTGTGGGGGCTATGCGTTTTTTGTCTCGCGGTTCTCCCTCCCGACCCCCTCCGGGCTTGCTCACTCTCTGTGGTCCTCTTCGGTCCCCTCGGTTAGATCATGTGCTCGTGTTGGCGGCGAAAACCAGACTGCACACGACCGATGACAACATCACCCTCCTCGTACATAAATCGGCGACGTCGCCGATTGGGCGCTCTGGCGGCAGGACCACTCGTCTGCCGGATAAGGGCGTGCCCCGTGTCTACGTGCCAATGCTGATGCGTCCATGGGTCCTTCATGCATGCCATACCGCCGTTTCATTCCATCTCGGCGTCCATCTTACACAGTGTCTGCTCGAGCGCTTCTACTGGTGGATTGGTTTGGATCGTTCCGTGCGCTGGTGGCTTCGGGCGTGTTTGG